TGACAGTCACATTTTAGCAGGAGGCTTGTTGGGGATGAGCCACATTTAAACTATTGCAGTGCAGAGTAGATGAGAAAAAGGGAAGCAGGAAAATAAGTCTGGATATTTTCCTAACACCTTGCCTATGAAGGGAAAGAAAGTGATAGAAACATGCTCAGAGGGATTGGCTGATCTTTTGAAAAATACAGGGTTTTTTTCTGGCTTAGAGAAAGGTCAGAGAAATCAGACCATTTGTTGAAAAAGGATGAAGTTAAATTGGTTTATTTGACTGTGTAAACTGTATTCTTGTTTTGTATTCATCAGACCAGCTTTGTGATCTGGAAATGGGGTTACATATATTACAGATGCTTTCTATTTTTGTTATTACAGTAACATACAATACCACTAAATATCCTGATGCTGCCAAGTTAAAATGGAGCATCAAGTAAGATTCTGAGTTAACTTGATAGTTGTCGTGGTTGATGAAGGGATATTAGAGACAGGTAATTCTTGATCTTTTCTTTTTTTTTTTTGGTACCAGAGATCGAACTCGGGACCTTGTGCTTGCAAGGCAGGCAGTGGCACCACTGACCTAAATCCCCAGCCCGAGACAGGTAATTCTTAAAGTTCTATTCCACCTGCGGTGGTTAATTGTGATATGTCAACTTGTCCGGAGTAAGGAATGCTTAGGTGATTAATAAAGCACAGTTCTAGGTGTGTTTGTGGGGTGTTTCCAGAGATGACTGGTATAGGTCAGAAAACTGAGAGGGAAAGACTCATCCTGGTTATGGGTGGCACCAACCAATAGGCTTATAGCCTGTATGGAATAATAAAGGAAAAGGAGGAAGTCTATCCATTTTTGAAGAGCTCCAGTTTGCTTGAGCAAACTGAGTGTGTTTTTTGCTCCCACTGCCTTTGGACATTGGTCTCTAGTTTCTTCAGATTTCCAGTCCAGACTTACTCCAGTGACTCTTCAGTGAGCTTGCAGGTCTTCAACCTTGGACTGGCACTGCATCCTTGATGTCTCTTGTTCTGTGGCTTCCATCTTAATGGGCTGACCAGCTACTGGATCCTCTAGCTCTCATGCGTGGCCTTCATGGATTCTTCAGCCTGTGATCCTGTAAGCCTGCCTAATTCAGTTCAGGGCTCCCACTAGAGCTACCTTAATCTCTTTAGTACCTCCAGTGATCTGAACTTCCCACCAGGCTCTACCTCATAAAGGCTGCACCACCTTTGTGCTGTCAAACTGAAGACAAACTTCCAATAGATGAAGCTTTGGAGGACAAACCACATTGTATGAGTCAGAATCCCCATTTCTGGGATAAAACACCAAGCACCAGTGAGATTAGACCCTCCAAATGTATGTCCACAGTAACCCATCTCCAACTGGGATCCTCCTAAAAGCATATTCAGCTCTGAAAGTCAGTGGATTAATCCACTGATGAGTACAGTGACCCCATGATCCAATCACCTTTCTATAAGTTTCATAATCCAGTCAAGCTGATGATTAAGCTTGACTGTCACAAGATTCAAACCATAGTAGGTAGGGTGATTCTCATCCCAGAGGGCATGAACAGTAGCATAGGTTGGCAATAACCTCTATATCTTCCATATGGCTTTGAGTTTTATTAAATGTGATTATGTGGCACACCCCTCAGGGAGAAACCAATTTCCTTGGATTCTTAGTACAGCATCTAGGGTAGTGCATGCCCTTGACATTTTACTTTCAAAGTGATTATCACACTTGTGTTAATCTATAAGCCTGAAAATAATCCTCAAAGTCTTGATGCAGCGCAAGATCAATCTCATATTTCACTTTGTCAGCAGTGAATGTCTGGCATGGCTGAATAGGATGGGAGTGAAATGAGCTATTGGCTTATTGAACGAGTGCCCTCTGGAGTCATCTGGGAATTCATCAGATTTTAACTAGAAACTGAATTTTTGTTGACTACAGATCAAGAATGAGATTAAAAAGTCTCTCATTTGATAGCTTATAATGTATAGTTTATGGAGAATGATGTAACTAATGAGAAATATTTGGTTAGAAATTTAAAAATTCTATGTTGCAGTAATAATCAATTAGATGTTTATGACCCTTTTCCCCATACTTTTTCACATGTATTCTGTTTCCTCAAGTATCTCCCTCTAGTCTTGTTTATTTTTTTCTCATTCTTCTCAGCATTTTTGGAAAAAGTAGTTCTTCCTCTTTTTTCATGGCATTAGAATGGAAAGGTCAGTTATTTACCAAATATCGACTTTCTACCAGTTTCTGTGGAAGGCAGTGTTGAATGCAGCACTTTTCCTATCATCACAAAGTTTTCAGAGTAGGGAAAAGAAAAAAATTGAACATTTGGGAGCCAACTGTACTCTGTAAAATGACTGGTACTTCAAAAGGAGGAACAAAAAATGTGAGACATAGAATGGTCCAAATTTAAAACTTGTAAGGAAGATATACAGGAAAGGCATGAATTGGCTAAGAATTGGGTCCCTGTGCTGTTGCTGCTATTGCTGCTGCTGCTTCTGCTGCTACTGCTGGTGTGTGTGTGTGTGTGTGTGTGTGTGTGTGTGTGTGTGTGTGTGTTGCAAGGGATCGATCTGAAGGGTTCTTTTAATTGATCAGAATGTCTGAAAACTGAACCATGGGCAAAAGTTGAGAGGAAAACTGTCATGATAGCAGACATCACACTTCAGTAATAAACACTAACCCTGACTAACCCTGACCTGACCCTAACCCTAACTTTAATAGTTATTTTTCTTGCTCTTGTGATTTATCTATTTCAGGTTAGCTGTGGCTTCTGTGCCAGTGTTTCTTGACTTCTGGACCCTTGGTGTTACCCTTGGTGTCACCATCTTGAATTCTGCCAGTTGTCTTGTCAGTGAGTTTTTGCACTAGCCATTAAATGCTTATGATTTACTAACAGGACTGGTCATGCAGGCTCAAAGAGCTCAAGCTCATCTGAGAGTGCAATAACACCAAGTGTTCTGACAATAGAGAGCTGGAGATGTTTGGCATCAGTGACAAACTGAAGTACAAAACTTGGAAGAGTGAAGCTAGAGACTAGTGAAAAAGAATTCAGTCTCTCTCCCGAGTTCCAGGAAATAGCAGTGAGAAGTAGCAAAATGAACACAGGAATTAAAGTGAGAACTAACAAATTTTAATCTCAAATCAGCAGCTTGACCAAGTTTTCTGAGTCAAAATTTCCTTCCAAGACCAGTTTTATAGGACTGGTTCTTTAAGCCTCATGACTGGCTCTGCACAACAAATTGTGAGTATTTAATGGCTAAATTTATATGATTATTCTGACAATATTATTAAAGTTTTACGTATAATAAAGGTGAAGCAATATATTAAGAAGCCCATCAAGGTTTCTTGTTCTTTTCTGCTGTAGTATTTTCTCCTGTTCCACCTAATTACTTGTGTTTTCTCTTAGGTAAATGAAGAAACATAGCTTCAGTTTGTCTCAGAAAGTAGTCAGGCTGAGTCTGAAAAAGGAAAAGGAAATAGAAGGCTGAGTGACAAGTGAGTGGCTGTAGTTCTAATCTAGAGATGTCTCTACTCCTGCCAGTATGCCTTCTCCCTGTGAGGGGAGCATTTTGCATA